GTCCTGGGGTATTGTTCCAATGGGAGATCTGTTGTGCCTCTACCCATTTTTTGAGTTCGGTCCTTAGATGGCTTTTTGTCAGGCCAAAGAAGGGTTCTGGACCGAGGAATAATGACGCGGCGCCTTCTCTTGCATGCCGGTCCGCAATTTCATTTCCTTCTATGTTTTGGTGCCCTGGTACCCATGCTAGAGTGACTATTGCAGTTCGCCAGTTGCTTTAGAACTTGCTGACAGTCCCAGATCAGTCTGGATTTAGTAACAAAGCTGTTAAGAACCTTAAGTACTACCTGACTGAATTGATGAAGATTCTTGCACCTTGTAGGTCTATTTCAAGACACTTTCTGGCGCAGAGTTCTATTACGTACGTTTCCGCTTGGAATATGGTGGGGTCTTTTCCTAAGACTACCGATAGCCTGCAGTTTGGCCCATATACGTCCACTCCGACCTCTTCTTCTGTTTTCGATCCAGATGGATGAACCGTTTGGGAATGTATGTACGATCTTGTCACTTTTGCGGCCTTCTGCGGTCACACTAAAAACGTGATTAAATTCGTATCTGGGTGGCATGATGTCCACCGGTTTTGTTGGCATTCTTTAATGATGCTCATATGTCCAACAAGGTCCCCTTCCTTCAGGTTTAGAGGCCCCCATGTAGGCCTCCCTTCTCACTGCAATGTGCAGAGGGATGATATCTAACATGACCTCTATAGCAGTTGGACAGGTGTTCATGGCACCTGTTATTCCAAGACATGCATACCTTTGTACAACTGCCAATCGGTTTTGCCCTGTCTGCTGCTTCACTTTTGGCCACCACACTAATGCAGCATATGTGACCAGGGGTCTTATAATCATCGTATATAACCAATAGATCATTTTTGGCTCAAGGCCCCATGTTTTACTGAATAGCCTTCGGCATATCCAGTACGCTACTAGTGCTCGATCGATTATTCTTTTTAAATGTGAGCTCCACGTGAGCTTTTAATCTAGGACAACGCCCCGATATTTGACTTCACTTGAAAGGCCTATTTGTATTCCATCCAGTGTTGGAGCTATTAAGTTGAGCTTCCTTTTCCTTGTGAATGGTACAATTATTGTCTTGCCCTTAGACCCTCTTGCGAGCACCAGCTTTTGTTGATGTTGAGGGCATTCTGCATGACTTCACTAATGATTCTATCATGCTTGCCTCTAATGATGACTGCAAGGTCATCAGCATATCCTAGGACCACAAATCCATGCTCACTAAGTATGTTTAGAAAATCATCTATTACTATTGCCAATAGCAGTGCGGATAATACACCCCATTGGGGGCAACTCTTGACTGCTAGGACCGCCGCTGAGTCGCTTCCAAGAGTTGCTTTGATTTTCCTATCCTGTAGCATGGTTTCAATCCATGTGATTGTAGTGTCCTCATAGCATTTGTTTTTCGCTGCCTTTCTTATGGACTCATAAGAGATGTTATCAAATGTACCCTCTATATCAATGAATGCACAAAGAGCGGCTTCTTGGTTGGAGTGTGCCTTTTCAATCCTATTGACAAGGCTGTGTAGAGCTTTCTCCGTTGATTTGCCTGCTTGATAGGCATATTGGTTTTAGTGGAGCGATTTATCGGTTACGAATTCACTTCTTGTGTAAATCAATGATTTTCTCCATGGTTTTGAGGAGAAACGAGGTTAAGCTGATGGGTCTGAACGATTTAGGCTGTGCTGTGGGACGTTGTCCAGCCTTTGGAATAAGGACCACATTTACTTCCCGCCAGCTGGTGGGAATGCAACCTAGTAGGTAGCTAGCTTTGAATATTATTGCTAGTGGAGCTATGAGTTCTTCTAAGCCTTGTTGTAGGAGAGCTGGAAAAATTCTGTCTTCTCCTGGTGATTTGTAGGGCTGAAAATGTTCATAGCCCATCTTATTTTGTTTGAGGTGAATATTTTTCTGGCCAGAATTTTTGGTCGTTTGCTTGGGCGTGAGACGCCCTTAGCCACCGAAGCTCTGTTTCCGTTTAGCTCACACTCTACAGAGTCTGGAAATTACGATTATAGGAGCAGTTTCACACTCTCTAATCTACTCTCTGTATAACTGCCATCAGGTTTTTGCAGTAGTCCAATGCCGTTTGAGTGGTATTTTGCAATGACTTTCTGGAATCGCATTGTCTGAGGGATGTCAGTAATCTCCTCACAGAAATTCCTCCAGGATTTCCTTTTAGACATTCTCAATTCCTTGCTGTATTCAGTTAGGGCAGTTCTGTATGCGCCCCAGTTATTGGTGCGTTTTACCGTATTGAATAACCTTCATATTCCAGCTGTTAGATAACTGAGCGTCCTGTTCCACCAGGGCGTTTTTCTATCTACGACCCTTTATTTCATATGACAGTTGTTCTCATAGGCTGTTATTATTAGAGTGTTTCTTTCGTTCGTGATATACTCTAACTCACCCTCTGTTTCTATTGCGTTGGGGTAGTCGGTCTTTGTATAGACCCCATTCAGTTTTGGGTTTCTATTGCTCGAGAAGGCATGTCTCTGTGACCTCTATATCGAATCTTACATGTTTATGATTCGACATCGAGATTTCGTTGGAGACGTGCCAGTTTTTAATTTGGTTGCTTATGTGTGTGCTTGCCAAGGTTAAGTCTAACACTTCTTGCCGCACACTGTTTGCAAAGGTCGGTTTGTTACCATTGTTGATAATATCTGAGTCTTTGGAGAACAAATATTCAATAAGGTACTCACCTCTCTTATTGATGTTTGTGCTGACCGATATGGTGTAGTGGGAGTTGGCATCACAACCAATTATAAGGTGTTTGATCATCCTTTCGCAGTAGCTGACGAGTCATTTAACGTCCTTTGGGGGTGGATTTGTCTCGTCGTCTCCAGGGAAGTAAGCCGAGGCAAACACTACCTCTCTGGAAAAGAAACAAAGTTGATATTCTTATTTAGCATTATTGCTGCCCTTGGGTGTTAATGTTGATAATTGTATATTAACTTACATGATTTTGTTGGAGTTCTTTTTATTCGTGAACCAAGTGTCCCATAAATATTTGCGGCCGAGGAATTCTGGATTCCTCCATTGCCCTCAGTGCAGCCCCATCCCAGGGTTTTAGGGTCTCCGTCGTTTGGAATAGCCACTTACTTGTGTCTTTATCCCTACTACGAACCCTGGTTTGAAGGTGCAGGATAGAAACTTGGTTTTACAACCCCATCCTTTTCCTGCAAATTTTTTTGCAGAAGTGCAGCCTGGGTAGCCTCAAGCTGTTCCGTACTAAGCTGCACCTCCGAAAAGTCTTTATGGGTGATGCCCACCTTGATGCCTTTTACCGCCTGTTTGTAGGAAAACGCGGCTGTATTAGGTTTGGGTGATGGGGCCGTTTTGGCTGCCCCTGTGGCATCTTTAATTTTATTGGCTGTTGCCTCTGATCGGGTCCTTTTGTTGGAACCTTTATCGGACCGCTCTTGCTTCATTGGCTGTTCTGCCAGTTTTCGCGCTTCCTCACTGCTGTGGCCTTTCTTAATAAGCCTCTTGAAGCGCGTCCTCGCAGCTCCACTTAGGTTCTTCCTTTTCAGCTTCAAGTCGGTTAATGACTTGCAAAGCTTCTGAGAAGTTGATGCCTCTCTTTCACCAGAGGATGTTGACTTATTTGCTAGAACGGCAGGGCTTTTAGGCGAGCCTATTTCCGTTTCTGCCTCAGTCTCAGTGTTTGGGGCATTGTTGTCCCCTGAATGTATAAGGACGTTACATTCCTTTAAGTTTTTCGGGACATTGCTGTCCCCCGAGGTAGTGGGGTCGTTCTCGACCCCTAGAGGTTTTTTACTTTTGGATCATTCATATTGAGTCCCACGAGTATTGGGGAAGTAAAAATCGCCTGTAGCAGAGCACCATACTACAGGGAGCAACTTGAAGTCCTGGAGATTGCCTGATTCCCGGAGTTCGCAAGCTATCGACCAAGCATCCCCTTGGCCATGCAGTCTTTGACACTCGCTGTTCCACCTTGACTTGGGGAGATTATTTATTGTGGCTCTCAAACCACTCGTTCCGGGCGACTATGCCAAGACCCCCCCACGAATATCTGCGAGACATGACCACTAACAACATCCGTGCTGGTTTTACAGTTTGAGGGCTTCCGAAGTAGCCCAACAAACCGGCATCGTTTTATCCCAGTGCAGGCCCTTGACCACGGTACGACAGTTGGGCTGGCGAATGTTTTTCGACCTTCCTATCTAGATCCGTGAGATTTAGTTCCAACAGGATCACTACGAGAAGGATGCAGCTAGTGGCAGCTGGCAGCCGATTCCGATCTAGTCGGGATACCTCACGGTCTTGGAAGCAAAGGCGAGCTTCTTTCCCTGGGACCCGGATTTATCCGGATGGAGCTCAAACCCCAAACCCCTCTTCGACCCCAGCTCAAGGCCTTAAATTTCCGGAAATATTTTATTCTTTGACATTTTGTTAGTTATCCCTAGTTTCGGAAATAGTGAAAATATATAGAAACCGTGGAAATATTTGGGAAATAAAATAGAAATCGTTAAAAAAAACAAATGATTAATTCAATCAAACTTGGGACAACACCCTCTATTTCAGATGGTACCTAAGTGATGTTTATATGAAATAGTGTTACGAAATTACATTCATGCAGAGAAACCGGCGACGTTGGCGTTGTTACCAACCTCATCACAAATGTTCAGGAAATTCATTGTGTGAATTTCCTGAGTTCGTCAGTCAGTTGAAATAACAGAACTACTGGTGCATTAAGTTGAGTAAAACGTCATAATTTTTCAAAAGTGGCAACTTTTGTTTTATTCTCAAAAACTAAAAAGTAATAAACGAACAAGGGCGATCATGTGTAGCTCTTAAAAATTTGGATATTCTGCATGCCGTTAAATCTTATTGAATTGAGAGATTTATAACAATTATATCTAATATTTTTAGCAACTGTGGGACTACGCCTTCATAGTCCACACATGCGTGGACGACTGGAAAACCACTCCGTGGCGAAAAATCGACGTGGAAAACATGGACATCGAGTGCAAGAAATTCGCAAAAGAAATCCGGATGCTTGACAAGGAAATGCGCGGTTGGGACACATATAGCGGCTTAGAATCTACCGTCAAAAATACTTTAACATCCTTGAAGGCTGTTGGGGAACTTCAAAACCCTGCGATCAGGGAAAGACATTGGGATCAGTTGATGGTATCCACAAAGGTATGCTCTTCTGAATAATAGTTTAGTACTTCTTGTAAATAATGTAAATAGTCCCTATAATTTTTTTAATAATCACTGTAAATAAACATTTTTCACCATTAATTATTCGGACATTTGTTACAGAATCTTGCAGCTTTACCTCAAGAATTTAAAGTAAGTTGAAATGAGACCGGAAAATCATTTAAGTGTCATTGAAGTACCTACTTTTCTTTCAGAATAATATTTATAAAGTTGTATCTATAGGCATACTGTAGGGATTTTATTGAAACTTTTTACCTTTAGTATTATTATTGATCCATTTTCAGGTTGGCTTGAATCACTCCCAAACATTTTGATTTATTACGTAGTACTATCCAGCAAAAGCCTGCATGATGTACCTAGATCTTTTTCGCCTTAATCAAACACAGGTGTAAATTAGATTTAATATCAAAAATTGCTCCAGTTTCCAGACAATATTATTATGTGTTCTTGTATGTCCTAAATGTATTCAATAGCTGATTTTTTTTTTCTGCTTAGATCAACCTTTCCTATAATTATTGGTATTTTTTAATAAATATATCCAAGCAAATCCCTAGTTACCTAAGCAAAAGCAATATGTTTTGCACAGCAATGACCTGTAGCAGCTTCAATATTTTCAACCAAGAATATTTCACCATCCATTAATCATTTAATTCTAAAGCTTCCAAGCACAATTCTTGCACCATCACATACCAACACAGAATACTCCGACGTTGTCCAAAAATACTCATATGAAACTCTATATTCTAGACTAAAATCATTATGGACTACAACACAACTCTTGCCGATCTCCTCGAATTAAACTTGCATGAATGTGAAGAAGAAGTGAAAAATATCGTCGATAAAGCGGTCAAAGAAATGTCAATGGAAAAAATTTTGAGAGAACTAAATTCCACTTGGTCAACTATGCAGTTTGAACATGAAACCCATGCTAGAACAGGTTGTACTTTGCTCAGAGCCAGCGAGGAACTCATCGAGACACTTGAAGACAATCAAGTGCAACTTCAAAACTTGATAACTTCAAAATTTATAGCCCATTTCCTAGGAGAGGTTTCTTCTTGGCAAAACAAGTTGGGGCTAGCCGATCAAGTCATAACAGTTTGGTTTGAAGTGCAAAGAACTTGGATGCATCTAGAATCCATATTTATGAGCTCAGAAGACATTAGAAAGCAACTCCCTGAGGATTCAACAAGATTTGATATAATTGACAGAGATTTCAAGGAGCTTATGAAAGATATGGCCAAAGTCCCCAATGTTGTTGAGTCCACCAACAAACCAGGATTATTAGAGATACTAGAGGAACTCCAAAAAAATTTGACTCTATGCGAAAAAGCTCTAGCGGTCTATTTGGAAACGAAACGTTTAGCGTTTCCGCGTTTCTATTTTGTTTCCTCCGCGGACCTCTTGGATATTTTGTCGAACGGCAATCAGCCTATGCAAGTGGCTAAGCATTTGACGAAACTATTCGATTCCATAGCTCGGCTCAATTTCGAAACTGACGAAGATGGATCATTAACAAATATTATTGAAGGAATGTATGCTAAGGATGGTGAATATGTGACGTTTCATGAACCTACCAATTGCATTGGACCAGTAAGTAATAGTAGCTAGGTTGCGTCTATAAAGTCTCATCACTTCGGTGGCAATATGAAATTCAAATAATATGGTTTCTCGCAGAATCGATCAAATTTTGCATCAATTCTCGAAAATGCCGTCGAGAAGTAATCCACCATTTATTTCTTTACACGCAAAACATTTTCTATATTTACAACAGGAAATTTTCACTTTCACTCGTAACTAATACCTACTTCTGTGACTATAACTAAGTTCTTTTTGAATAGTCAATTACCCGTCTGATTATAATTCGCGATTCTTGACTTAGTTCAGTAGGAAAGGGCTTCTTCCAGACAAAAAATGTAGAATTTTTTTAATCACCTGTTCTATATGTTTTTTGGGGTGCTGAATTCGAATCTGAGGTTTGCCAACTCGCCACATGTTGGCTTCACACGAAAATTTTCAAAAAACCTCAAATTTTTGATGCTTTTTTCAGGTTTTTAACTATTAACTCGAGAACTAAGCGTTTTTCGATTATAACAACAATAACTATGATATACCAAATTAAAGTAGACAAAATTTCCTACAAGTACGTATAATAACTTTAAAGTCTCGGCAATCCATAACGTCGTTAGAGCGTGTTGAAAACATGGCGTTTCTTGATTTTCCTCTAAAAAAGTTGAAGAAGTTATTTTAATAAAAGGAAATATATTTGTAACAAATTGGCATTTACACAAAAAAAAGCAAAAGCACCGTTCATATTCATTATGGACAAAATTGGTCAGTACCTGCATAAGGCTCAGGATTGCGTTCGCAGATGTTGTTTAGATGGACAAGGTTGAATATGCGGAGCGACGTTTTCTTTTAAGTCCTGTCTGGGCAGTAGACTGCTCTTATTCTTGAAGGATAAGCGCTGGTCTCCCTACTGGAAAATAGTAGTTTTCCTAATCAGTGAGCAAAGTTATGTTCTCCCGCATGCGAAAGCAGTAAGAGATAAGCTTTTTTTCGATAGAGCTCGTGTTACTCTATCGGCACACCAATTTAGAGCCCGATTGGAATTTCGACCCGACGTTTCGGGGTTACACAAAAAACTTCTCCCGAACTAATGGGGCAAAGGGGTCCCACCCCCTAGTGTCTTCCTTGAAGGGGTTGTGACCCCGAAAAATGACTTAAGCTACTTAAATCAAGAAAAAAATCTAAGATCTCTCGTGAAAACCGCAGTCCTATGTTCAAAATAGTCTTCGAGGAAATTCCTTGTGAAGATAAATTATGCAGGAACTGGTGACGTCACAACCGCCGAAATCGTAGTCTTCTGTTCGTTCAGTAGTCAGTGAACCGTAACCTATACTTTGAGTGGGTGCAATTCGCTCTAGTGAGATATTTGTCTTTTGTTTTAGACAATTTTTACACGTGTTAATACGGTGTGACGTCACAAACACCTAGTAGCAAGATGCGGTTGAAATGTTTATTCTTAGATTTTTTTGCAGTAAAACTTTCATTTTTGGGTTACACCCTCTTTGGGTGAATGGAGGTTTCATTTAAACTTCGCGAAGGGGGTCTGTTTTCCGGATATTACGTTTTTTATGTTTTTCGCCCCTTTAAAATGTTTTGAAAAAATATTGTACTCCCTACCAATCGCGAAATCTTCTTTCTCTCTATCCCCCTGCAAAATTTCAACTTTTGTAACGTGTAAAGTTACTTGTCCCTTTTTCTTCCAAATTTAATTTTATATAACCCTTTTAATGTTGACAGTCTGGTGACTAGCATTAAAAATACAAGGTTCCCGCTACTCATAATATTAGCAATTATTAAATTATTACACTAGAGGGCACGATTTTCATTTAAATTTGACGTACCGGTTAGTACCAACTTTTTCCTCTGAGAGGAAGCGCTGCCTGCTCACCTTGTCCGTTTTAATTCTTTTTCTTTCTCAATTGTGCCGTCGAGCTGGAAGGTCGTTCTGCTGAAAATCGCCATCTTCTCGAGACAACCGTGACGTGAAAAAATAAAGTACCATATCGGCCTTCAGGCATTATCTTATCTTAGGCAATAATCCGTTGATTACCGAAAAAATTTGAATCAAAAGTCTTGTGTTTACCATTTTATTTGAGTTTGAATTTCAACCCCCTCGTGATAAGTTTTTTAAATTTTTTCAAGTAATAGCTTCTCAAGGAATGCCTGTATTACTTAGGGTCTTCCGAAGAGCCGTTTCTCCCAATAATTCTATTCCTTAAAGGCTACATTTTCAATAAGAACATCATTTCCGTGGAGTGTGGCATAGAGCTTTTGAAGGGATTCCTACAAAAATCAAGACCCTCACGAGTCGATACGTGTGCCCCACATTTGACAAAATCTGAGAACTTCTAGTCTCTTATCTACCTTGATTCTAGGCTAGAGTCTGCAACTTCCACGAGCAGTTTCCCTCATCAAATGACCGAGAATGGATGGCTACCGTGCTCTACCTTATGCTGGAATGGAGGCTTGTATAAAGTTTCATTAATAACTTCCAATACCTTTTCTTTTATAAAATCAGTTTTATAGTCAATTAACAAAATTAAGATATATTTTTTTTAATATGATTTTCATACACCTTTAAAATGTCTTATTCTTGACACCGAGGCGATGGTGGAAAATTAGCTTTCGATTTATCGAATTTATTATGGATTTGTCTTTGCATAACTTTCAATATCGCCATAATTAAATGATGTACTTATATTTTATCATTTATATCAATAACAATCGATCAGTAATCTGAACAAAAGTCAACGTTGGACAACATGTTCTAAATTTGAAATTGTTGAGTAAGAGCCTACCGTCGATTATCTGATAGCAACTTCTTGTTCAGAATGGTCTAAAACCCAACTGTACTAATTTTTGTTTCAATACGATACAGGGTGATCACAATAAATTTTCAAAATTTAATGGACCAAACCGCAAAAATGTCATATTTTGAGGCCTTGAGAACAACAAAACTTGATACAACATAGTTTAAGAACATCCCTAACCAAAACTTGTAGTAAGCTTGTCTCATTTTTGCGGTTTGATTCATTAAGTGAGTGAATTATCGATTGAAAAAGTACCTTATCGGGATACAGGCATTATTTTATCTCAACGAAATAAAGTCGTACAAGGCAATAATCCATTGATTACCGAAAAAGTTTAAATAAAAAGTCTCGTGATTACCGTTTCATTTGAGTTTGAATTTCGAAACCCACGTGGTAAGTTTCTTTAATTTTTTTAAGTGATAGTTTTTCATAGAATGCCTCTATTATCTAGGGTTTTTCCGAGGGAGTATTTCTACCGCGGACCTATTTCTACCGTGGGCCTATTTTTACCGGGGACCTGTATTTTCTGAGAAGTTGTTTTTCTCAAGGGATCCGTTTTCAACAACCCCCATCTCTGGGCATGGAGTCTTGAGTCCTTCACGTGTCGATTCCTGTACCTCTACCTTTGACGAAGAAAACTGAACTTCTAGTCTTTATCTTCCAGGCTAGAATATACGACTTTCAGTGACCAAAGACTGGATGGCTACCGACTACCGTAATCTACCTTTCTCTTGAAATTGAGGCTTGTATAGAGTTTCGTTAATAACTGTTATATTTTTTTCTTCTGACTTCTGTTCTATAGTCAATTAACATAATCAATTGATTAAATTTCTACCGACGTTACCTTTAAATTTTTAAAGTTTCAATAATGTTATTCTTGGCACTTTAATGAACTTTTGTTCTCGAGTTTTGATTTGCCGTATTGAATACTATAGATTTTTTACCTAACTTTTAGTATCGTCATAATTGAATAATGTACCTATCTTTTATCTTTTATTAATCATAATCATTAATCTGAACTGGGGTCAAGGTTGGACAACATGCTCTGAATTTAAACTTATCGAGTAAGTACCTATAATGTCAAAAATTGATCAATTTCTAACCCTAGGACCTACGACTTATATATTTGCGGATTTCTATTAAATCTCCAGACCATTTAACCGTTATAGCCCAACTTTTGATTTCTTTCAGGTACAAATGTTAGTGAACTTTTATGGTAACTATATTGACGTACATTTTAATATTATTATTTTTTAATTTTGAATTTGGTGAAACTGCTGATTGAAAGTTGACCTCTATTAATTCATTTTATTTAAATTGTTTTATCAGCAATTGATGTCATACTTTGAAATTATTTGATTTTTGATTTTCAACCTCACTGTGAAATATATACTGTTTTAATTTGAAATTTACTTAATTGTTTTATTGGTTTACCTAGGTCAGGGTTTGTTGAGTTGTGTGCCTTTTTTATTTCTTTTTCAGAATTACCAATTACCGTTTGCTAATTATTTTCTAGGTGTGTTTCTGAATTTTCACACTTCCATATTTTATGCAATTTTATAATTTTATTTTTAAAATCAGCGGCGCCCTTGCCATTCTGTACTGATTAAACTATTCAACTCACGCCTAATATTTTTTTGGCTGAGCAAACCGAGCATATTATGGGGCTCTGGTTAATTCATTAACAAAAGGGGTTACAACCTAATATTATACCAATTTAAATTTGAATTTAAAAAAGTTTGCCTGGGTATGGTTCGAACCCGCGCTGCCTTTCCAAAACCAATTTAACTCTGGCGCGTTAAGACGATCGGCCAATCTGGAGATTTTTATATGTTGGCTACAACGTACTGTTAACATAAACATCGTTGTATTAATAACTCTATCAATAAAAAAATTATTATTTTAAATTAAAAAATTTTCTCAGGTTTTTTTAAAATTATTACTTATTATTAAACAAATTATTATATTAGAGAGTTCTCGTGCTGTCCAAATTTCAAATACCGTAACGCTATTTGACAAGTATGACAGTTTTTACGGTATTAGGGTTAGCGGAGCCCGTTACCTAACGGGACTTAGCGGATGCCTTACCGTCACGCTATTCTATGTCAAAATTAGTTTACGCCCCATTTACGTCTGCAAGAACAGTAATTTCTAATAATTCCTCCATAAAAAACACCAAGGGAAAATTAATCAAGCTCAGGAACCTTTAAGATAAGTAAAAGTTAGAAAACAAGCAAAAAAAGTTGGGTTAGTTTGGGTTAGTTAGTTAGATCACTCAACTCAGCTGTCAAAATGTAAACAGAATCACGGATTAGAGGATTTTTGCGTTTTCGTGTCCGAGAACTATAAAATACCATATAAAATACCGTATTGTTAGCGGTACTGTATTAGCGTAGCGTCTGAGACACGAGAACTTTCTAGTGTCATCGGTTGTTAATACGTGTGGAAATAGCGGAAGTCAGTGAAAATTGTGGTAGGCCTGTTCCAACACGTCGAAAACCGTCCCATTAACGGTTCTGAATTCTGAAACCACTGGCAGGTAGACGAATTTTGGGTTCTACGCACAAGTTTTTCATTTTGCGCAGAATCGTGACGGTGAATTGTACGGTTTCCTGCTGTTTTGGAACAGAGCTAAAGAAAGATTTATTACATAGTTTAGGTAGAACATAGTACATAACCTCACATGCTTATTTAGTCACAAACTCACAAGTGAAGCTAATTAAAGCAAATTAAAAATATACTTGTCATTTATTCAAAAATCGCCGAAAACCTATATTGCTAAACACAAAAACTCACACAAAACTGAAGTTGACACGAAACCTGAATAAAACCACCTGTCGACTGACTCACTGACTTCCAGGGCTGGGGTAACGACGAGTGGAATTCTGGTTTCATGACGTCACCCTCGACCTATTTATCGCGTACAGTACAGGCGATGATGATGGTTGCTAGGCAACCTGACGTCATGAAAGTGGAATTCTAGTAGAATTCTACTTGTCGTGATCCCAGCCCAGTATTGCCAGTATTAAAGGTTTTTTGCAATTTTTCGGACGGAACCGACGTTTGGCGAGGTGGCAAACCTCAGATTCGGATTTAGCACCCCGAAAAACATATAGAACCGGTAAGAAAAAAAACTTCTAAATATTTTTCCTGGAAACGCTGTTTCTGAAAGTTGGATAACTGAACTAACTATCCAACCGACTGCGCCAGTTTGAAAACCCAATTTAACTTGATTGAAATCAAGTTAAATTGATTTTGGACATAGTAGCAACTGGTCGGACTTTTATGGTGCTTTAATCTCTGGAGACGGAGAAGGTCTCAGTCTGTTAATCTTTGTTCGCCTCTTCTTTATAATTATTTATATTGGTTTTATGAAAAAGCTGAAATTCACATTACTTGGTTTACAAACAACAAAATTTTTGTTTCGAAAGAATCAACCAGTCAGTCCTAAATATATTTTGTAAGTCGATAGCGTTCCATATGTTTTTTCATTTACAGGTCGAGGTCTGGTTGAATAAAATCCAAGCCGCTATGAGATCAACCATTCGCCACGACATCGGAGAAGGTGTTGTTTCTTATGAAGAAAAACCCAGAGACCAATGGCTATTTGATTTCCCTGCTCAAGGTTCATTGTGCGGCACCCAGATTTGGTGGACAACTGAAGTTAATATAGCATTCTCACGCCTAGAAGAAGGTTACGACAATGCTATCAGAGATTATTACAAAAAACAAGTTTCTCAACTCAGCACACTAATTTCACTTCTGTTAGGAGACCTGACGAAGCAAGACAGGCAAAAAATTATGACCATTTGTACTATAGATGTTCACTCGCGTGACGTTGTCAGTAAACTTATACAGAGTAAAGTTGAGAGTGCTCTAGCATTCCAATGGGTATCACAGCTGAGGCATAGATGGTGCGAAAAAGAAAAACACTGTTATGCGAATATTTGTGACGCCCAATCTATTTATAGTTATGAATATTTGGGAAACACGCCACGATTGGTTATTACACCATTGACTGATAGATGTTACATAACTTTGACTCAGGTAAGTGAACTTGGAAAGCTTCACATTTTATTGGGCGACTACTGGCTGGGAACAATAATAGTTACAAGACGTTTGTAAATTACTCAACTATGTAATGACACTAATAAAACCGTGATCTCTGTACAAATTATAGACATAAGCACCTCGTTAAGTCGTAAAACAAACGCCATCTAGTTCGTGCTAAAGTTTTTGCTAACATATTTCTTGATGGATTTTTTATAACGTTATTTATACAGGGTGTCTCAGCCAAGACTAATCCATTTTAATTGTTTATAAATTTTAATCCACGAGTGCTAGGCACGATGAACCGCAAGCTCCATCTACCCCAAGCTAGTCTTTTTCTGTCGTACGAATTAGGAAATGCATTCGCCCGATTTAGAGTAGGTATAACTGTTCTGGCGTCTTAAAACAGTTCCGACCCACTAAAACCATTCTCTGGAAAAGTAGCAAAGCTTTTCTTCCGGGATTTTTTTGCCCCTTTTTTGTCTAGGGGATTTTTCGAACTTTTTCCATTCTTTTTGTTCTCTAGTCAATATTTTTCGAACTATTGTGCTTTCCATTTTCATTCGCTTGTCATCATAAGTTCTGCCACATTTTCTTTTCGCACTTTTATTTCGCATAAAATATCTGCTAGCAGCTTGAAATTTTTCGCATAGAAATATTCAGGCCTAGGATGATTTTTGTTGACGTTAAGTTATATCTCACTGTTTATTCTATATGTCAGAATAGAGACAGGTATATAGATGTTGAAATACATACGTAGCTGTTAAAATAACAGGAGATGATACACGTGTGATTATGTGTTCTGTCTAGTTCATTACAGAACCAGTACTTCATGTGTTTCTAATTTTTGGATTTTCTAAAGGTAGGTATGTTCCAAATGTTGCATGATCAGTGAGAGCCTATGTTAGATAATACTCGGTTTCGCCCCAATTGCAGTTCAATCAGTTTTCTAGATCTCGTATAAAGTTCATGGCTCATATATTATATATATACTTCTCACAACAAGTTGGCCATTTTTTCATAAGATTTTTACCTGTACTTCGTTCCTGGCTTTTTCTTGTGCTCTTTCAGTAATTTTTGAAAATGGGATAATAATTATGTCATTTTCAAGTAATTATCACTAGTTTTTGAGATCAGCGCTTCACACACTATGGGCCAAGGTTCCAGACGTTATGTAGTGAGATTTCGATGTGGTATCTCAAACTGAAGTGGGCGCTCAAATTTTCCCCTGTTACGTCAATCCTTTAGGACTTGATTTTTTCATTGATTGTCTCCGGACGTGCAGTGCTATTTATTATCCAGGTTTCATTGGCGTTGCTCTCTAGCAACGCCAATGAAACCTGGATAATATCATTCTGGAGATCCTAGTTCATCCCCCCCCCCCCCCCCCGATTAGGAAGGTGAGGTTATTCATCATTTCGCCTTTGATTAGAATCCCATGAACCCAAGATGAATGATTTCGCACTGAGATAATCCTCCATTATTATCTCTCCCTGATTCCTTTATTTTCCTATTCCTCTGTCTGCTTGGTGTATGGTAACCTCTTTCTTGGCCTGGATTCCAGGCTTTAAGCTTGTTCATAACATCATACTGGGCTTATCAGGTTTGACTACAAAAATTTTAACACGTGAAAATATGGCCCATTTTGAACAAAAAAAGTTTATACTACATGGGGTCCAAACTCAACCATTTTCAAGAAAAAGGGATTTGAAATTGTGACGTGCTTTCGGTTTTTAATTGACAAATAAATCCGTTTTCCGGGTACGCTGGATTCAGCCATCGGTATGATGCCTACTCACGCCTGTCGTAAGGGCACCCGCAGTGACGACAGGGTGTATAACGCAGCGTATGACTGCAACATTGGGTTCCCCTGGAAATTCTGCTTCGCTCGGAATTTTCGGAAACAGATGTCGTAGCACGTCTGGTTTCTCTTTTCCTACTGGTGTTGCGAGTTTCGGTTATCGGGGACTTATCATCCCGACAGTCGCACTCGCGGGAGAGTGGGCCTACTTTGCTACATTGAGAGGAAAACTTCACGGGTTTGCCCGTGCAAGCGTTTCTTCGGTATCCCGGGTACCCACATCGCCCGCAGAGACCCATATGAACAAGCGAGTGAACAGGTAAGAATAAGGGGTCGTTACGGTGGGTAGAACCGGTGGTTGCGGGTTTGGATGACTTGGAAGAAGTTCCCCGATCTATGGTTTCTTGGGTGCTTGAGGATCGTTTCCGTGTCTGGGTGCTCTCGGGTGTAGCAATTGGTGGGATCTCAGTGCCCTTGGGATCGTTGTTGGTTTCTCGGTTCTGGGAGTCTTGACTAGTCGGTCGGAAACTACCGGAATTCTCCGCCTCTGTCAGGATAGCTTCAAGCTCCTCCATAGCGGTTACTATCTCTAGTACTGGATTCTCTATTTCTGACAACAGAGAAAAAACTCGGCTTAGTAAGTATTACGACAACGGTACGGTGTAAAAAAATAATGCTCAGTAAGCATAGCCGTAACTATAATTTATTTACAAAAGAAAATTAAAGAAAATAAATTAAATGCTGTACATCAAAACTAAATTATCACCCAATTATCACAGAAAAGTACAAATCACAAAAAAGAAAATAGTTCTAGAAAAAAAAGGCGGTATCCAGACGGCGAACGGTGGTGGAGATTTCTTCGCTACTCTGGCCGAACCGAGGGGATGGTGGCATATACATATTTCCCCCCCCCCCTCGGTGATGAACTTCTTTCTGAATCGTCTGTTGGCGGGGAGATTTTGCAGTCGGTACCGCTGGAGAGCACCGCTGGAGAGCTGATACCAAGTCCGGTGGCCATTCCCTCCGTTGATTGTCCTTTACTTAGTTTAAGCCTTCATTTTAAGTCATAATTATATTTAAACATAAAACATTGTAATACATTTTATGCAACTTATTATATTCTATTTTCTAGTAAATGCTGAATGCTGAAGCAGCAAACCGTGGTTGCCACCTAAAAGTAGGTTACTTTATAATTTCAAACCATCATTTTGTCACGTGATTAGGTTGGCAACAAAACTGTTTGTCGCTAAGCAAGCAGCAGTAGTAGTAATGTTAATTTCCACATAACCATGTATTAATCTCTGCTACTCACGTCACACAATATACGCACAGTGGCTTCAGTATATTAATTTTCTCAACCAATTAAGTAATAAATTCTAGTAGTGATCTAAGGATTTAACTTGTTTTTTTTCTTGTTTACGCCGGATACGACCCAGAACCTTCTTCGCAAACCTTAAGTTTCAAAGTTGTGGAAACTCCACAACACCCTAGAGTCCGGAAATTCGACCAGTCCGTCGGCGATTTTGGCCTCTCCCTCATACTGAGGGGATTGCTGCGGTAGGACCAACCCTGGGTTCATGCGGGTAGTCACTGGCTTCTCGGCTGTCGGGTCGATAGTGACCACTGGTGTTATTTGGGAAGGCGCGACGGTTGTAGATCCGGGAAATTCAACCACTTGTCCAGGGACTCGGTGTTGAGCAGCGGTTGTTGGAGTCCAGTGACTGCTTCCCCGGAGTCCGTCGTTGGAGTGTTCTGGTTCAGGAGTTCATTCAGAATCCCCAGGACATCGAATTCCGCTTCGATGGTCGCCGTCGGTCCATCGCAGGAATCTTCCTCAGTAATAAAGGGCGGCAGTGTCGAGGAAGATTGAGAAATGGGGTACAAGGTAGTTTGGGTTGCAGTATCGGTGGTGTTGGTATGGGTAGCGTGTATGGTGAGTGATGGTTTCAGGATATTTTTCAAGGGGATAGGACAACAGGGTCGGCGTGATGCAATTTGAAAGGAATCTAGAGGAGCGGTTATCTTTTCAAGATTCTTGTCCATCACCGGTGCGGATGGTGCAGCTGCGATTGAGCTACAGGGAGGCGATACAAGGCTTTAGGCGGGTCCAACTCTCGTCCGAAATTTAGGAAGGCGGGTGAAAATCAGTAAAATCATGGCGAGAGCTGTTTACGGCAAATATTAATTCCGGTAAATGTACATTCCATTTTCGGTGATCGGCTTCGCAAAATTGAGCGACCATAGTTTTGACGGTTTCGTTAGTTCGTTCCACGGGGTTTGCTTGCGAGGTATACGGAGGGGTTAACCGGTGGTTTAATACCATGTCTTTTAATAACTTCCTCAAAATATGTTCGGTGAACTGTGTTCCGTTATCCGAAATTATGGTGCGGGGACATCCGAATTTGCGGATGGCTCGGCACTGTATCCATCTTGGAACACCACAATGTACGAATTTCCTTTTGAAGAACGTGGTAGCGGTCCAACCAAATCGGTACTTACTGTTTCCCATCGCTGGTTGTTTTTGGAAGGTTGCATTTTCCCCGGTATGGCTTGTTGTGACGATTTGAATCGTTGGCATGATGAACACGTCAAACATATCGGGTAATATCCCTGAACATACCGGGCCAGTAATATTTGCGAGCAATATGGGTGGTCGTTTTTGCAATACCTAGATATCCTGCGGTAGGCGAATCGTGATTTTCTGCCAGTACAGCATTACGTGCCGATTGTGGCACACACAGTTTCCATGGGTCGGTCAAGTTAGGAGATAAGGGTTTTGAGGGTATTCTATTGTTAATACATGGGAATTTCAGTTGCACTAAAAACTTGTCCGTTTTATTCAATGACCTTTTATCCCGTTCCCTTTTTAGCCCTATTTTCAGATAACTTTCTAAAAGCTTCTCGTTTGACCTCTTGAATATTATCTCCACTGTAACAAGCTATCTGGAGCAAGTGGACCCTCAGCCACTATAATACTGAGGGTGGCGCCCGAGATTACCGCTTAGATAATTAACCGCAATTAATTCAAGTCAATTAAAAACCGAAAGCACGTCACATCTGACATTTTTGACGAATATTTGAAGGATAAAAATGTAATCCTTATGAGATATAAAAAAAAAAATGATAAAAAATTGGAAAAACAACTTGAAAATTCCACTCGTGAATCGAACACACACACTTGATTTGCCTTATGTCAGTTAGTTGAAGCATGGGAAATGCGCGTAATTCATTCTTTTTTGAAAATCGAATGTTTACACACGTCAAATATCCAGCTACTTGTTTAGACAGAATCGTTGCAAAATACCCATCTAGCCACAAGCATTCACAGGGGATGATTTCCCAAGAGCACCCACCCACCAAAGATTGCGGAAGTGTGAGTGTGCAAAATATGTGTGTTGATTTGAGAGTTTTGTGAACCTTTTAACAATAAAGCGATTCATAATGAGGATTTGGCAAGTAGCTGAATAAGTATTATTTAATTTTTCTCTTGAATATTCAGTGCAAAATGTCCTTGAGTGCAATTCACACCTTAATAAAACGGCAATTTTTTGTTTTTTTTTAGAAAAGTGATAAAAATGCAGGTTATTATTTACAATATTTGAAAGCCAATAACAAATCAAAACGTAAACAGATGGAAATAAATAAACTTGCAAGAAAAAAAAAAACCTTCAAATTTACCAGTTTTATTTACATTTATATCCTGGCAGAGATGATACCTGTACGATGTTGTCACGTTGTTAAAATTTTTCTAAATTTAAATTCTGCCATTACTCCGAAAATACCAACAATTGAGCCATGGTTAATAGGACAGTTTTAGCTTGAAATAGGCCATATTATCTCATGTTAAAATATTTGTACTCATACCTGGATACACCCTGTATAGTTTTTCCTCACTGTTGTTATTGTTCGTCGATTTTCATCTGACACTTTCCATATGAGAAGCGAGGGGGTGAAGTATATGACAAAAACAGGTGTGACGTCAGGTGACCATTGGCGTTCTAATGTAGGGTGCCACCAGCTCACATTCATTTCGAGTATCAGATTGAAATCGACGGACTTTATGTCTCAGTTTGACATGTTTCTTTCTAATTTCCTGTTCCTTTTTTCCGGTTGCTCATTTCATTTCTAATATTAACTACATCACTTTATGTTGTCTATTACCTATTATTTCCAGCTTACTTTCTGTTTGCCTTGTCAAAGTTAATTTTGGTAGCTTCTCCTGATTTGTGTTTCTCTATCCACTCTTATACTATTGTTGTCTTCGCTTTCCTTCTAACCTTTCTGTCTTTAATATCTTATAGTCTTTGGATCAGATCGATGACCATGTTTTTTACTTCTACCAGCATGAATTTCCCAGGGTGCAATTTTTCTTTTATAGAGCTAATTTTTCCTCTGCTTATTGAATGAGGCGTTCCGAAGTCATCGCGTAGGTAAAAAGTGGGGGGATGGCACTTATTTAACAAATTGTCGATGTGCAGGACCCTTTTATCTTCGTGTTTTTGTCATCATAACATCACATCTAAATTTGTTAATAAATAATCGTCAGAGCTTGAGTAAGGCAACCTTAAACTGAAACACGCATCTAAAGTATGTGAAATGGTTTTAGTCTCTGCATCTAATAATGGGTGGAGGTCCAGCAGGTCCAGCCGGTACCGGTAAAACTGAAACAACCAAAGATTTAGGCCGCGCCCTGGGTATAATGGTATACGTCTTCAACTGTTCAGAACAAATGGACTATAAATCTTGTGGTAACATCTACAAAGGCCTCGCACAGACTGGAGCTTGGGGATGCTTTGATGAATTTAATAGAATATCGGTGGAAGTACTATCAGTGGTAGCAGTTCAAGTGAAATCAGTATTGGACGCAATTAAAAACAAAAAAGTAACTTTTGATTTTATGGGCGACATGATAAACCTGGTACCTACAGTAGGGATTTTTATTACTATGAACCCCGGTTATGCTGGCAGGACTGAACTACCAGAAAATTTGAAAGCACTTTTCAGGTACCTAACTTGATGTTTTGTTTCAACATGTAAGGAAAAACAATTGCAGCAATAGATGATCATGCTGAAAATAAATACTGAGAATTAACAACGATGTTCAAGTCTTGCTATATTGAATAGGATTTAAATATTTTGCATTCCGTTCGTAGAACATATGACCAATTTTACTAGCTGAGATGAAGTGTTCTACAAGACGATCGAGATTTAGATAGCTAAGATGACTAAAAAGATTGTACTCTCCCTAACATGTTGAAACAAGCCTGTATTTCGAACATTTAAGGAATACATATTTTGAATTTTAGACCTTGCGCTATGGTGGTCCCAGACTTCGAATTAATTTGCGAAATTATGTTAGTCGCCGAAGGATTTCAGGATGCTAGAGTTTTAGCCAGGAAATTTATTACTCTATACACATTGTGTAAAGAATTATTATCGAAACAAGATCATTATGATTGGGGTTTGAGAGCTATCAAGTCTGTTTTAGTGGTTGCTGGATCGTTGAAGGCAAGGACCAATTTAGTAGTTTTGATAATTGTAAGTTTCCTATTGGGATTGATTATTTTTGTAGAGGGGTGATCCAGGAAGACCCGAAGAAGAAGTGTTGATGCGAGCACTTCGAGATTTTAATATACCGAAAATTGTCACTGACGATACTCCAGTTTTTATGGGACTAATTGGTGATCTCTTTCCTGCACTAGAAGTTCCAAGAAAAAGAGATGCTGAGTTTGAAAGAACTGTTAAACAAGCCACCATTGATTTATTGCTACAGCCAGAGGATAATTTTATTTTAAAAGTAAGACTATCATCTATTTTTTAGCTCTGGAACAGAAAAAGATACTTTTTTTTCAGGTAGTACAATTAGAAGAACTACTCGAAGTACGTCACTCTGTATTTATAGTAGGAAATGCAGGCACCGGCAAAACTCAAGTTTGGAAAACCTTATTCCGGACTTATGCCAACATAAAACGTAAACCAATTTTCAATGACCTCAATCCCAAAGCGGTCACCAACGACGAACTTTTTGGCATTATAAATCCCGCCACTAGAGAATGGAAAGATGGTCTTTTATCTGTTCTGATGAGAGACCAAGCTAATATTAGCGGCGACAGTCCGAAATGGATTATTTTGGATGGCGACATTGATCCCATGTGGATAGAATCTTTGAATACTGTTATGGATGATAATAAAGTGTTAACTTTGGCTAGTAATGAAAGAATAGCTTTGACTCCGACTATGAGGTTGATATTTGAAATCTCGAATTTAAGGACTGCCACTCCGGCTACAGTTTCCAGAGCTGGGATTCTTTATATCAATCCCCAGGACTTAGGATGGAACCCGTAAGTGTTGGTTTGTTTTTTCAGGGTAGACTGGATGTTGCTATTTGTGCTGTGAATAATCGGTTGCCTCAAAAAAGTTTTATAACAAATATATTTACATGGATTCCGGGTTTACTAAAACTCGCGTCAGAAACAACTCCAAATAACAACTTTTATGTCCGATTGACCAAGTGCTATTTATAGAACAGTTTTGCGTCAAAAAAGTAGCACTTTATTCTACTGTAAAATAAAGCGCTACTTTATTGCCTACCTGCCAAGGTGAAACAGATATACTCGAATTTCAATTTTTTCATTAAATTTTTCTAATTATCAATAAAAACCAGTCGCAATCGTACATAATAATGTATACAACGCTTACATAAACAAGCTTTATTGACTCGTTATTTAATAGCCTCGCTCGCAAGCTCGCTCGCTCATAAAATTATTCGTACAAAAGAGCCCTACTTTATGTACTTGTTATATAAATAGCTATTATTGAACAAAATTGACTTTATAACAATGTACTTGTACGTTTCTTCATTAAAAGTTTTTTCAATCCCTAACTCATAATTCAAATAGCCAAGACATACTTTCCACGTAAGTCCTCAGAGTACGATTTCCATAAGACTCGTAAAAGTAGCGGGGGATTACATATAGTCCAAGAGCCGGCAATATTAACGGGTATGTGATCATTGCAATGGATACTTTTTACATAAAACAATAGTTCATAGTTACCTTTCAACCAAATGGATGGGTTGCCTTTATTCTTATGGCCGTAAAGTTGTTTTATGAAAAGATGTTTTTTCTAATTTTATAAGCAAAGCAAAACCATAAGCGTTACAAAAAAGAAGTACTTTGCGGTGTGGGGGGTAGTCATCATATGCGATTGCTAAAGGATTGCCACCCCATCCGTCGCCGTAACCCATTGGTGGTTGGGCATAAACTACCCCCCTTTTTCCGATAGAACAATGTTATCGTTGCAATAGCTGAAAATTGGTGGATATATTCTTCAATATGTCTTCTCAAATAATATGACTTTGATGGCCGAAAGTGATATCAAAGGTTATTGAAAGTGAAGCGCGCGTGACACTTACAAATTGCCTGCTCGCAGCTCTTTCAGCGCGATACGAACGATTATTTCCGTTCGCGAAATGTTGATAATGAGACTAAGGAGTTGGTGCATCGCATCGAGAAGTTTTGTAATTGTTTAAACATGCTAACATTTAAAAATACGGCAATTACAGCTGTTGTTATTCGACATGTCTGCACATATTCTAACCATCTTTTTAGACAATGAAATGCAAAAGTTTTGTTGAATATTATTATGGAAAATATGATAGGAAGAAATAAATAAAAACATCGATTGCAAATGAACATAATATATCGGTCGGTCTAGGACATTTGGGCGCCGCCGTTTGGGCACGTCATTTGGGCGCCGCTGTATGGGCCCGAGGACCTTTGGGCGCAGGGAGACTTCGGCGCGGGATACTTGGGCGCGGGATACTTGGGCGCGAGGATATTTGGGCGCAAATAAACTTTGGCAATGGCATACGGGCGATACATTGATAAACACAGTTAATTTTTATTCATTTAGTTTTGGCTGTTTATTTTATGGAAACATATAAATTAAGTTTTTATTTATTCGATACTGCTAGATACATTTTTTTTCCATATTTATTATAACTATCACGCTACGCGTCCATTTCATAATTATGAGATATACCTCTCAAAAACTCAAGAATGGTCCGTCCAGCTGCGCCGCCGGCATGTCTAATATAATCGTTGACCAGGTGTTGTATTCTTTTATCAGCCTTGACAAGTATCTGTTTTTTTCGTGTCGGTTCGTTTCCAGCAAGTGAATTTTCATAGGCAACATCCCTTCCTCGTTGTACAACTTTAAGGCTGTCGATGAATTTCCAAATGGTTGGATGATTCATCGACAGCTCTGTTTGTAGTCTTCTGTGTGCAGCTTCTGCATGGTTATTTGTTCTGTCGGTGTTTGCTTACACCCGATTATGGACAGACCATAGCTCTGGAGGAAATATCGCTGGGCGGCGTCCGTTTCCCCTCCTATTTGGACGACCTACATAGGAATCTTCAAACCATTGTAGAAGGGGCTCTAGCCCTGGGGGCAACGCATTGGACAATTCGTAAATGCCATTGTCCAAATGGTCCTTCGGAAGAAAAGCTAAAGACGTTACCATGCGAGCATCCAGAGCAAAATCTGCATGTATATTATATCTTCCGAGAAGATGCAATTCTCCTAAATGCTTTCTCATGTTTTTTGTTAAATGAAACAAATAGTGATGCCGCGAGACTCGAGACTGGTCTCGTCTCGTCTCGCGCAAGTGTCAGGAACAATACTTTTTCTACGAGTGTCTTAAAAAAGAAGAATTCTAAAATAAATAATAAAACTTTATTTCAACACAAATACAGGAGAAAATTATTATTTATTATTATTAACAATACTAATATTAAAAGTACAGCTAGTTGCTTTTTGAAGATTTATTGCCGATTGTAGCTGATTTTTTGGAAAGGGGAAGGCTGATGATGATGCTTCGCTGCTCACTGTTGGCATGGTATAAGTTTGCATTTCAACTTTTCGAATAGCGTTTGACAAACTGGGCATTTCATATGGTTTCTTGGGACTGCTGTTTAAAATTTTGTTACTTTTTTGTAGCTAGTTGATTCTTCAATGTATCCCTCGGCTACCGTGCTCGATTTCCAGCCGCCCAACCGCTTTATATCCGTGAGTCCCTCTCCAGAATTTGCAAGTAACGTTGCGGAAGATCGCCGAAAGCTATGGCCAGTCTACAGCGTTGGATTCGGCAACCTCAGAAATGCTGCGATCTCAGAAGGCATCTTCCCGAAGGTATTGATCCCAACGCATTGTTTTGTGCATTTTCCTCCTTTGTAATTTACAAAAAAGCGTTGGTGTGTTGTTGATGGGCGTAAGGCTGTATACTTCCGATAGAACAGCAAATATTTTCCATCGTTTATTTCTCCAGATATGACGAAAGAACGTGAAGTATAGTTTTTTGAGTCTCGAATTTTTACCACAATTAAATTGCCTTTGTCTTCAATGTCACTTGTCCTCATTTTTGCGAGTTCTTCTCGTCTGCAGGCACCAGCGAGTCCAAAAATGGGTGTCCCTAATCACCCGGATCTTCCGGTTGAATATTTTTTTTTTATTAGCCCGGAATTTCCGGGTTATTATTATATTATTAGTCGTCCGGATTGTTTTTTTACTTCTGTGTGCTTGAAATTTTTTTTACTTGTACGATGACACATTTGAGCGTAGGTTATGTTATGCCACGTAAGCATCAATTTCGAATTTCATTTTTTCAGTAGTCCAGTACACTTATAACCAGTCGAGTAACCAGTATTAAATGAACTGTAATGAAATAGTCTAGGAGGCAGTGACGATTTTCGGTACTTATTTTCCCAGTCACGAAACATGGATAGAATTGTAGGGTTAGTAATTCTAAGCAAAATTCATATATTTTTAGGGGGGGGTTTTCCTATGGGTTGAAGCGCAAAATGCGTTAGAGCTTACCAATGCACGGCCCTTTTTTTTCCAGTGATAAAACTAAGTCAACTAATCAGAAGTATACTGAAGTTACGTAAAAAAATACTCCGGCTAATCTGTGAGTATGGATAATATGTCTGGCAAGTGAAAAATTGAAGATCCGAAAAACTTCAGCCAGACTAACTTTCCACTATCTGAGATAAGCCAAATTGCTATGTTCATATACTTTATGTTCTATTGTAGTGGATGTGAAATATTTATGACTGGGAAAATAAGTGTACTTGTATTTTTAATTGATCTAGTGAACCCATCCGAAAATTTTTGCAAAACTCAAATATTCTTGTTTTGTATCACCAAGAGAACAAACTATTTGATATACACCAACTGGGAAAATAAGTGCTAAAAAATTTCACTGCCTCCCGGACTAAAACTAACCAAAAATATGCAAACTAGCCCAAACTAACCTGTCCACGTAATGCGTACTAGTCCTTGCATATTGAATTTAGGAAAACAACAGCACACTTCGCGCGCTTTGTTATTAACCAGTAGTCCAGTACATTTATAACCAAAATTTGTTTCAAGCGACTTGATATGTTTCGGAAAAATAATGTGCGAGACGAATCTCTTTTTTCGATATTGTACCTGCTTGTCAAATTTTTGACTTTGACAGTGTTCGTCGAGGCTAAATCTATACGCCCATGTGTTTTTTTTTAAATTTGGACAACTGTCAATGTCAAATTTTTTTATCTTTTCAATTTTTAAAAAAACAAAAGTCAGAAAACGATCCCCAGACTCCAAAAACCCTAACATAAAGTTTCATCAATATATGTCAAAAACTAACGGCCTGGCGACGCCGAACGTCTTTTTTGAAATATTATACAGTGTGCGCCATAAAGTTGGGTACATATGAGAAAATTCTTTGTTAGAGTTAAGGATTTATTTCATTTATTTGTATTAGTATCATATTATTAGATATGGCAACACGGCTAAAGCCCTGAAAACTTGGCGCGACCGCGCTTGTCATATGTCACTCGGCGTAGGAATATTGGAGCTGAAGGGCGGAGCTTGGAGCGGTTGCCGAGGGCCGTTACTAGTAAATAGTCAGCCATTCTGCCTCGTAAAATTGTACTGTTCTGCAAGCATTTATTTTCTCGTAATTAAAAACGTAAAGTTGAACAAGTGGGTTCTTATTTCTGCAAAATATTACCTGTCGAAGGAACCCAGCAACATGGTCCTTCGAGCCGGATAGAATTAGTGCAAGTGCTTGTAGAAAATCGAAGAAAAAATCGAAGGAAACAAATACGGTTGCCTCCGAACCGCTCGTCATATGCTCGCCATCACGAAACACAACAGGTTAGGTCGTTCCTTTTAATTTTTATTACTATTTCAACCGTGAAACAAATAACCTTATGCACCGCGTGGAGTTAAAAATTGTTTAACTTAAATATCACGAAATAAACAACAAAAATAATCTCGATTCTCGTTTCAATTAGAAA